TGGGCTTCTTTTTGCACTAGGTGTGTTTCTTGTATACAACATATTGTTGGATTTTGCTTCTTATTCCATTTTGCCAGTCTTTCTCTTGATTGGTGAGTTTAGGCCATTGACATTGCTGGTTATAACTGATATGTACTGACTTATTATTGACATGTTATTGGCCTTTTGTTGACCCTTTTTACTTTTTCACCTTCTCCTTTTAATTTCTTGCCTTGCCTATTTGATTTGCTCTGTTGGGCCTCATGGTGTTATTGCCTTCATTGTCTTTTTCTAGGATCTTGTTTAGAATTGCTTGTAGTGCTGGTTTGGTATTCATGTAGTTTCTCAGGTGTTCTTTGTCGTGGAAGTGTCTTATTTCCCCCTCCATTTTGAAAGAGAGTTTTGCTGGATACATCAGTCTAGGTTGGAAGTTGTTCTCTTTTAGTACTTGAAATATCTCATTCCAGGCTCTCCTTGCCCCAAGGGTTTGTGATGAAAAGTCTCATAGTTTTTCTTTTGATGTTAAAAGAAATTAAAACATTTTTATGGGCTGCTAAATGTGTTCCAACCCTTGGGTTCTGTGCTGGGCCGCCGGCCTTGGAAGGATGGAGTCGGTGCCTCCAGAGAGGGCAGCGGAGGGGAGAGAGTGCCCAGATTCAGTGACTCTCTTTCTTTTCTTCCTGACAGTGCTGGTGACCTCAGTTTACCCTCAAAAACCACAGGCCGTGGAGCGCCATGTCCTCCCTGTCCTCTGGTACTTCCTGAGCAACATGACCGGGAATGGCACGCTGCCAGGGCGTGGCGGGTATGTCCGCACGGTGGTGTGCCAGCTGTCCAGGACCCTACAGCAGCAAATGGGGGCCCAACTGCAGGAGTTTGCCACTGGCCAGCCAAAGCAAGTCCACCAAATGCTCCAGGAACTCTTAAACACAGGGTCCCCGGGAGGCACCCATGAGGTCACCGACGGAGAGGTGCCACCTGACAGCTAGACAACCGGGAGCGCCTGTCCCTCTCAGCTGGATTCAAGAAGGGCCCCAAATAGTCGATTATCATTTTTTATCTTATTTTATTTTTATGGTGGAATAATATTTCCCGCTTAGGTTCTGGATGTATATGGTCTATTTTGAAGTAGAAATAAAAGAATCACTTATTTTTCTAAGGTTTTCTTATCTAGCATTCTTGTAACTTCAGAGAATTTTCTAGTAGGTTAAAGTAAAATAAAACAAAGCACGACAACAAAACTTGTTACAGACGAGATTGAGAGGAGGAGCTAGGGAGTAAAAGCCCACGTGCGGAGGCTCATTCAGGGGTAGGGTCCTCACCCAGAGCAGTGTGGGACAGGATCCCACCCCCGAGACCCAGAACCCTGAGCCGCTCACTCGAATCCAGCCCCTTTGCCACTGGTCTGATTAGAGGTGAGTTTAACAAACTTCTCTGAGCACAGGGCACTTGGGCCCTTCAAATTCCTCAGCATGATGTCTCTTGGTCCGGTGGGACCCTCTGGTGTGATCTTTCTTCCCAGCCTGTCAAGAGGTAAGGGGAACTCGCCATGTGGGTCACTGAAGCCTCTTTAGATGCTTGGTTTGCTCTGATGCGGATTAGTGATGCCTCACACCTGAGACACGGTAAGTGACGCCCTGGGTAGAGCGAGGATCCTCTGATGCCACGTGGAAGCTCTGAAATCACACAGGCTGCTGCAGCTGGCTCGGTCATGACGCTCAAGAGCAGCAATGCAGGCTGGGAGGAAGCAGAGGGAGGTGTTGGCCCTGGTGGCGAAGCTGGGGAGTGCGGTCCTGGCAGGGGAGGGGACCGCCTTGGGCTCAGGACGCTTTAGTCTTGGCTGGGCCGGTGGTAATTACCAATGGTGTGAGTAGAGTTCTGGCGCAGGTCATTACCTCAACTTCGGCGCAGCACACTGGCAAGGTGAGCGGACACAACAGCAGGGACAGGTCCAGATGGCCGAGACCTGAGGACAAGCCCAAACCAGCAGGTTTTCTGTCGAGCCCCACCGGGGGAGCCCCGTCCACTCTCACCTGACCCCAGGTATGATATGGATTCCACATCATGTTCTGAGCCTCTCCTGGGGAGCTTGGCCCTGGAAGCCTTGTGGCCAGGTCTCCCTGCACCTCCCTGGCTGAGGAGGGGCACTTCCAAGTCCTCCGTGCCTGGATTTTAACAGGCTGTTGCATGTGACTCAGTGATTCTGGCTGTTTCCCTGACGGTGACCCCAGAAGGGCCTCTCTGTGACCACTTTGCTTTTTGTCAGTTGTGGCTGAGCTGGGCTAAAGATCAGCTGTAGAGGGGGCCATTGAAAGATGCTCAGGAGGCTGGTTTAAAACATTTTTGGGGTTTTATACAACTTAATTAATTGTATTTGCTTGTGAGCTTTTGCCGTTTGGTTGGGAGACCTGCATTTTCTGCTTGTCAAGGATGCAATAGATCAGAATATTTCAGGAGTTTTCAGAACTGAAGGAGTCTAGAAACACAGAGACTGGCTAGGATTTTGAAGGCAGAAATTAATTCCAACTGCACTTTCCTGTCTTCCTGTCTTCTGACCCCCACCCTCAAACATGAAGCTACCCACAGTTCTGGACACTTCCTCAGGGGTGGAGGTGGGTAAACAACCGAAAATTACTCTAAAAGCAAAGAAGAAATCTTTGCACAATTCTTGTTACCATCTTTATTTCGGGTGTTTTTTTTTTTTTTTTTCCTTATTGAGTGTATTGGTACCATCTAGGGATACAGTACAGTTACATCCATCATCGGGATCCTGTACCTCCCCATGACAGGTCTTGGTTCTCATTTTTTCCCCTTGTCCCTGCCCTCCCTTCACCCCCCCTTCCCTATTTACGAATGCTTTATTTCCATTTTTCTCCCTTTTTTTCTTTTTCCTTATTACCTCTCCCCTACTCTTCCCGTTTCCCCTACACCTTTCTTTCGGGTGTTATTCTGTGTGGGCAGCCACGGGCTCTGTCTGCCACAACCCAGCCCCGCAGTGCTGATGGGAAGGGCTGGCCTTGCGGTGTAGACTGGGGACTCGCCCCCCTCAGGGACGCAGGGAGGACGGTGCCCTGGTAGCCCAGCCTCGGGCTGGGGGGAAGGCCCTGAGAACAATGAGAAGACCAGTCCTGGGGAGCCAGCCAAGGCGAGGGAGCTGAGCCCACAGCATTCTTTGCTTGGCTGTGTGTGGGCGAGACCTCTGCTTACAGGAAACACTCCTGAGGACAGCGACTCTGGCTATGGCCTCTTCTCTCGCCTTCTCCTTCTCCCTTTCTTTTTTCCTCTCTTCCTCTTCTTCCTCCTCTCTCTCTCCCCTCAGTGTGGGAAGGATAGACCAGGAGTTATGTGAGGACTCCAACTGCCAGGCCTTCATGTTACAGCGAGTGGCATTTTTGAGAGTTAAGGAAACTTTGCCTTTAGATTGTCTCCTATTTTTCTCTTCCTTTTTTCCATTACCTGCATTTTTTTGTTTGTTTACTGAGACAGGGTCTCACTATGTAGTGGAGACTGACCTGGAACTCACGTTATACCCGAGGCTGGTCTTGAACTCACAGTGATCCTCCTGCCTCAGCCTCCCAAGTGCTGGGATTACAGGCATCCACCACCACGCACCAGGAGGTTTGATTCAGCTGGCCAGGGGTGGGGCCCAGGCAGCCAGCTTTCTCTCTGTTTCTTTTTCCCCCTCCCTCCCTCCCTCCCTCCCTCTTTTCCTCTTCCCTCCCTCCATTCAGGTGATTCTATCAGAAAACACAATGGCTCTCGCCCTGTGGGCCCCGGGCCTGCCAGCTCCCCTCACCTCACAGCCCAGGGTTGGGGGCTGAGACTGGACACTGGAGTGGGAGAGGCCTGGGCTCAAGTCCGTGTCCCGTGGCTTGCCGGTTTGTGGCTTTGGACCCTTTTGTCAAGCTCTCTGATCCTGATCTTCCTCCTCGGCTTACGTGGCCAAATGGTGATGCTGATGCGTGACAAACAGTGCCCACCTTAACCTGGCGGCTGTGAAGACGAATTAGATAGTTTTGCAAATTGCTTAACACAAGGCCAGGGGCACAGGAGCACTTAGGGACGCGATCATGATGTTTCGAGGGTCAACCCTTCGGGAGCAGGTAGAGTGGGGTCTTGTGGGGGCTGTGTTGTCCTCGGCCTTGGAAGGAGAGAGAATGTGCTGGGGCTTCATGGAATCTGAGATGCACTGGTAGCCTGCAGAGGTTTGTCTTCCAGAATGGGCTTGTTCTGCCCTCTGCTAGGAAAGTAGGTCCCTTCTTATCTTTAGGTCCTGTCATCGCTCCAGTTACCTGTCCCTTTTCCTCACTTGCTGGGCCCTCACAGTCACCCTTGGCATTGCCCATTCCCGTCCCTCCCACCATGGAAAGAAACCAGGTACCCTTCTCCCTTCCTGGGTGGTCCCTCCACTCCTCCTGGACTCTCTTGCAGCAGTTTGGAGAGCAGAGAGCTTTGTAGCCGAAAGGAGTTTCTTTTTATTATACTCAGTTCTGTCATTAGTAAAGCAAAGGGGAGCGGAGGAGGGTGCCGGCAGGTGTTCTGTGCTTGGTGGAGGGGGAGGATGGAGACCGGAAGTGGGAGGCAGGAGGAGGAGCTGGGCTCAGAATGGAATGTCTCCCCCATTGTGGGTCTGACGTTCTTTTTGACATCTTTGAAGGAAGAAATCTCCTATTTCCTTATAAGGCAACTGAGCCTCAGGAGTGTGTGGTCAGCAGCCTGGGCCAGTACCCAGAGCCGCGTGGAGTCTTGCTACATTGTAGACTTTGATTTGGCAGGAACCGGTCGGGGTGGAGATTCTGCATTTCCAGCAAGAGCTCGCATGGTGCAGATGCTGCAGGTGCCGTGGAAACCTCGCCCTGGGAGTCAGGCCCCAGAACACAGTTAAGCGGGGCTGGAGCTTGGATACTTGCTCAGGCCCGGTTGACTGTACAGCCCCTGACCACCTATTCCAGGAAGCTCTATGGCTCCAAGAGGTTGCCTCCCACTGGGCTGGTCCGAGCTTTTCCAGAGGATCAACTGAAGTCCCGTGGATTGCTGGCGCTGGTCTGATCCTAGAGTTCTGCCCTAAGAGGATTTGCTCGGTCAGCTCTGATCATCAGGATGTGCTGTGGGCACCTGGCTGTCAAAACGTGGCCTCTGGTGGGGATAGGATTTGGGCAGATACATGAAGACCAACTAGAGCGGGGGAAAGCAGACTCCAGAACTTGCCATAGCTTCCTGCCATGCGGGCAGAGACTCAAAAGGCAGGCAGGGAGCGCTAGAGCTTCACAGCGGCTTTGGAAAGGAGCATCTTCTGGTGTGTTTCCAGTGGAGGCTGCTGGCATGGCGAAGGTGCAAGCACTAGGAGTCTGATAGGCTGCTTGCTTTACTCACGGTGCTCAGTAAGGCACAGACCCATGGGTTGTGTACCAGACGTGCTGGATGAGAACCCCAGTCATCCTTACCTGTGCCCGGGCCGAAGACCTCTGCTCCGGTCTTGATGCTCTGGTTAAGCTCACAGGCTGGTCCCCACCCGGGAGCTGGCTGCCCTAAACCAGAACTCCCACACGCGGTGGCTGGAAAGAATTGCTCGTGGGGAGGAGCCGCTGTCTGTAAGGAGGGCCTGGGCATCTGCACATATTCAGGCAGCCCTGGCGGTGGTTCCAACCACGCGGCAAGTTGAGAAGCAGCCCTGAATGCTCCTAGCCGAGCTCCAGGCAGGATGGCAGCATCAGCTGCGCTCTCGTGGGATCAGTGTTTCTGAGCCAGGGACAGACAAAGAGGAGACTGTTTGGTCATCATTCCTGGAGTTTATCCAGGGTGATTTGGTTTCCAGTGTCCTGTCACCCGGTGTTTCTATGAATAGCTGTAACATTGGAAGGCTTTGTTTTGTTTTGTTTTAATCATGGCTTTGTAATTACCTCTCTGTGGGTTGACAGCTGTTATTAGCATCACCTTGATTTCTCCTTGAGAATTTTTACATCCAGAAAGTGATCCAGCACCTCTGGGGCTGGTGTCAGAAGCTGTTAGCTGAACAATAGCTTTCAAAAGTCACCAGGCTTTGTAAACACAGCCAATCCTGTCCCCTTCCCAAGAAGACAAAAAGATAAATAATTTTCATGAAGGCAATTTGTTTCCCGGGGTCTGTATTTCCTCTGTTTCCGCCTGCTTTCACCACTCTGGGGCATTGCAATAAAGTTAGTGCTGGCTTGGAAAGGAGGCGGCAGCTGCCATTGCCCAGGGATTTTCACCTGGAAGCCACTGCAGGGGTTCGCGACAATGAGGAGCAAAGATCTTTTGGGGAAAGATTTTTCTTTATTTTCCCATTGGGCCAGAAGCAATTTGGTGTGTGTGTGTTCCGGAGGCAGAGAGGAGGGGATGGCAGAAGTGTATAGTGATGATTATTGTTTAAAAGCCCCTCGGGAATTTTGAGTTTCCACCCAAACTAGTTTCAGAGGAATGGTTAAAATTATAGCGGGAATTTGGTTGGCTGGGAAAAATAATTTCCTGTTTCTAAATATTGGAGAAAATGCATATTTTTTTCCCCCCAAATCAGACCATGCTATCTCCTTGAAACCTACCCCACCAGACCTGCAATGATCTGAATGCTGCTTGCATTCGTGTTGGAGTGGAGCCTGGCTGGGGCCTGGGGGGCTTGTTCTGCTACTAGTCGGTGTCATGTTCTAGAACAACATGTAGACCAGCTCTCGGCCTCTGTTTTTATTCATTTGTAAAAGGTATTGAAAAAAAATACTTCGTTCATAATCTCGTGGGATTTTCCTCCACAATTTAATGAAACGAGGTAGACAACTGTATTTTGGAAGAGTGGACTGTTTGCAGGAAAGGAAAGGTCCAATTATTATCGACTCAAGCATCAGCTCTGTCAGACCTGCCGGTTAGGACCCAAAGTAATTTTCCAGCATCTACCTGACAGATAACCCCCAGACCCCGTATGGGGATGAATGAGATGCTGAAGCTTAATTTGTGTTTTTGGGGTTTGGTTTTCTTTTTTTCGATTTGGTATACCGGACACATGGACTGGTGATTGCCAGCAAAGTGTTTTAAAGTCTTTCCTTTTCACTTTGAATGACACCAAGACCTTCAAAGGAAGAAGTCCACTGTTGCTGAGTTTGACAGCTGTTCTTCACCTTTTCTGAGGATCAGCGAGCAGCTCTAGAATGAGGGGGAATGAAATGGAATTCTTAATTAGATTCTTAAAAGTGCAGAGATGGGCAGGGGTGAACACTAAAAGCAAGATGAAAGAAGACGGTAAAAGTGGGAAAGGGGATTCAGAGTTCAGCTCCCCGAGATGGGCTTGCCAAGGTGGTTTAGGGTAAGACTCTTGTGTCCAGGTTTCGCGGACGGCAGGAGAAGTAGGCTGGCGTTGTTATCGCTGATTTCCATTCCGGGGGGAAGAGTCCAGTCCAGAGAATCCGGGTCACACAGCGGGGTGAGGGAGGTGTCAGGACCCGGGCTTCTGTGCCCTAATGCTTGTCTTCTGGAGGGGTATGCGTACCTCTGCACGTCACCACGACCCTCTTTTCTTTCTCTTTCTCCTCTAACTCCCCTCCTTTGGTTTTTTTCCTCCCATTGAACATATCTGTTTTGTCCATGGGCACTAACTGAGCCTTGCTGGGCTGTCACCTGAGCCAAAACCAGGTCCTGCCCCGTGCAGTAGACTTCGGTGTGTCTGAGACAGAAAGCCTTGGAGCCAGCAGCTACATCCGTGGGAACGGTTGTCACCTGACGCAGGGCCCACAGTCTTCTTATCAGTGAAGCCTCTTTCGGGACTCCGTGAGTATAACCAAGCCAGCAGAGTCCACGCTTCTCCATAAAACTGAATTAGAGAGCTGAGTGAATGAACTGTTTGCTCCTTTTCATGTGCCATGCATTTTTAATTACATTTCATAAAAATGTCTGGACGGATTGATGGGGTTTTATTTAAACTTCAGGTAGGCATAGGGAGTAAATGATAGTGCAATATAACATGTTCTGTTAATATAGGCTCAGAACACATTTATTTATGGCAGTTCAACAGAATCTTTGATGTGGGGCTACTTAAAAATATATTACCTTTGAAAAGATCTCCTTTGGAAGACAGAATGGGTGGGTGCCTGGCAGCTTGTAAGCATGCAGCCAGATGATCAACTGACAAACATATCAACACGTATAATCCACTGCACTGGCTGCCCTGAAACATGCAAAATGCTGGCTGATTTTAGAAAAAAAAATGCTTCTTGGGATCCTTTTCATTCATGTTGTGGGATTTATGAAGCAAGTCTTGTCAGACAGAAGCTCTTCACAATGAATGAAGTGTCTCTGTGGCCCGTCTGCCCTCATTGTCTTTCCACGGGGATTATGTTAGGTGCTGCACGGGGCAGGTGAGATGAGGAAAGAAAATAAATGCTGCTTATAGTAGACAGCAGCGCAGACTCAACCTGCAGGAAAGGTTATGTTTCCTGGGGAGGATTGTATTTATACTTGCAAAAAGCTGTCACTATTCCACCGACCATTCTATTTGCTTTTTTTCCTCCATGAATCCTTTTGATTGAAACAGAAAATTGTGCTTTCCCCCTGGGGCAGATCTGTTTGCTATGTTACTAATGTATTGGATAAAGGCTGGGCTAAGTGCCTCTCTCTCCACAGCTCTGGGGTTCCCTCAAGTATGGAGGGTGAAGACTGGACACCCCCAGAAAAAGCTGGCGCAAACAAGAATATGGGTGTGATGCGTACCTCTTTCATTGACCTGTATGGGCTCTTCCTTGCTTTTATACCCAATGTTCCTTTCTGTTTTCTAACTCTAAGAAGAAAATGTACAGACTCATGACTACTTGAGGGTTGGGTCCATTGGTTTAATGCAAAAACAAAGAAAAACTGTCCTTTCTTTTCTCTCAATTAAAGGAAGTAGATTTGGCCCAGCAAGGATAAGGTTCTTTGGTGGAGGGGAACAAGGTGAGCAAGAACAGCCCGCCTGACAAGTGTGGCATTGAGCTTGCCCCTTATGGCCACCAGTAATGGGTTCTCTAAGGCAGAACTGACACATGGGTTTAGGGAAAGGCATTTTGGAAGGATGTGAATTAATGCCAAAGAAACTGGTCTGTTGTGGTGGATTTAATTTCGCCTGTGCAAAGTCTGATTTGCATGTAACGTATGCTGGATCGTTGCTGTAATGTTAGCATCGTGGCAAAGCAACCACCTCCCCAACAACAAACACCCCAAGACACCCACAGCTTTGAAACATCTGCTGCTGGGCTGGCTCTGCATTGCTTTAATTTTGACCATTATCTCCAGGCCCCAGCTCCTGGGCCTTGGTAACCTTCTCCATCTCTCCCAGGTGCAACTGACTCGGAATTCCCAAGGCCTGTGGGCTACAGGGCCACACAAGGGGCTACACCAGGTCATTGTCCCTGATGCCTGGACCTGGTGGCATCCTGGGCCTCTCAGATCACATACAGGGGCAGATGGCAGAAAGCCAGCTCCATCCTGGTGCACAAAGGCCCTCGCAGTAAATGAAGAAGTCCTCCAGAGAGACAAGGAGGCATCACTGGCTTCTCCACGGGTGACGGAGGAACTAGAGACCGTTGTCCCCTTCTCTGCTGACTGCAACCTGGCAGAGGCAAGTGTGACCCTTACCAGCCTAGCCAGGGGAAGGGCTCCTGGCCTCAGGGGGCCTCCTGCTGAGCATAGCCAGAGGGCAGAAGCAGGACTCTCCCCAGGGCTCTCTACGGTGTTGACACCTCTATGGTATGAAACCTTAGCTGGCTCCTCACTGCCTTGTTTGGCTCTTACCACCAAGTTGAGAGGAACTCAACCTCCCCCAACCTCCTACTGCTGCTGCTGCAGAGGAGGGAGGCCCAGGCAGGTGACTCAGACAGTTCCCTTCTGGCTGATCTGGCTTTGCTTTATATCCTGGTTTCGGGTTACACCCAGCCAAGTATCCTACTTTCATCCATTGGGACTCTGTGCTCCCCGCAGCTGGGATTCTGTCTGTGACTTCCCTGAGCCCTAGCATGGAGTGCAAACATTTTCTGACTAGGGCTCTCTGAAGCCACTTGCCTGTGAGCTGGCTCATGGGCCACCCAGGAGATCTGCCTCTTGCTGGCTCAGCTGGGCCCAGCTTGCCAAGGGCTCACTCCCTTGTTTCCCAAGCTGCTTGCCCAACTGTTGAGGTACAGTGAGTGCCTGGCTCTGTAGCAAGCAGGTTTCCTGCACCTGCTCCACTGTCAGGCACTTGCCTCTCCTCAGCCGCTCCCACCGCCTGCAGCCCAGGTGGGCAGCTCCCAGGTATCCACCCAGCTCGGTCTGGCTGTGACCTAGCACTGCCCAAGACTGCCGCATCCACGCTGGCGAACTTGAGCAACTAGCTGAGCATGCGCAGACATGTTCCAATACCGTGGCTGAGTTAGGCCCCTCTTGGTAATATAATCATATATTCTCTGGGTGTCTTTGACGAGATAAGCCCCGTCACCCCCTACCCCCTGTTTTAATAACTGTCAGATGAGCTTTAATAACTTTAATAGCAAGTCAGATGAGATTCATTTATTCGTTGCCTGTCCCTGGGGAAGCTAGCTGGAGTCTCTAGGACCCAGGCTAATATGTTCTTGAGCCCACAATCTATTTCAATGAGAAAGGATTTGAGGCTATAATTTCCCCAAATTTAAAAAATCAGCTCTGCGGCAGATCTGGAGGACCGCCCCTTGCTGTACTCGTGGGTGAGAAATTCTTCTCTTTGACAACCACTGGGCTGGCATCAAATCACCCAATTATTGAAAGTTCTTTTCCAAATAGAAAGTACTCCACAGCCTCTGCTAGAAAAATGCCAAGGTCTGCAGCAAATATCTAGCTCATTGGCAGAAGCAGGTTTTGGGCATGAAGCGCCACTCTTTGCTTTCATTTGAGCTCTAGAAGTTTTGCGGATGACCTGGGTGTAAGTGGCCACAAAGCCTCCGGGTGTGTGAGTCTCACCCACTCAGCCTCACAAGCTCCAGTGCCCACCTGGTGCCGAGAATGGGCGCCTTGTTCGGCCGGCTGGGCTACGTGCGTGTGCTGGGTGGCAAGAACACTTGATGTGCACGGAGGCCACAGCAGCGCCGCTGTGGCTGGGAGCTGAAAGCTCTAAACCAGTGGCATGGGGCTGAGCTCAGGAAGCAGGAGCGGAGAGTGGGTGGGACTGTGTGTTCTCATCCACCACAGTCATCTCGTGTCAGGAGCACTCAGCCTCATAAACGAAGCTCTTCATGGGAATTTCAGTGCTCTGCCATCACTCAACCTTCTAAAAACAAAGCTTCCCCACTCATATAATTGCTGTGTGTGCTGTAGGCAGGTGCGGTGGTGAAATAATGAGGCAAAGGAAATGTAATGAAAACAGCAGAGACTCTAGGGCCAGTCACGGCTGCACCAAGTTTTTCTCTATTCTCGTCTTACCTCTTTGACTCTGCAGGACATTTGGGTTTTCTTATTGGCAGAACTGGAGGATGCTATTTATTTCATTCATTGTTGCGAGGATTAAACGATTTCGTGATTACCATGGGTTGCCATGTAAATTGCCTAGCATGGGCCGTGTTCCTCTTCAAAGTTTAATCCTGAAGGATTAAAAGGTGTCACTGTGGGGATCTAAAGTTTTGGTTAACTTCTGAGTCCCAAGGCAAAGCAGGATTTGGAACTAAAAACTGAAAACTGCTTCAAGTTTGTCTGACCCGCTGAACAGTGGAACCTCTTCCAGACCATTCCAGGATACCACTGTGGGAGTTGGTTTGCCTACCATCTAGGGGCAGTGTAGGTCCTTGGCTGTCACCTTGTGCCTGCTGGGGTGGCTGGAGTCCCCTCCTTCTGCTGGGGCTGTTCTTCTGGCCGAGCTTTGTCCTGGGCACGTCTGGCATGGGGCCTCTGGCTGTAGCCCGTGGCCAAGCACGCAGAGTTCTGGGGGAGATGACCATCTGCCACCGCCTCCCTGCAATTCTGGGGCACGGAGGCTGCTCCACGGTGCCACATCCTGCTTTGGGCTGTCCTCACTGCTGCTGCCGCCCCTCCAGAGAGAAAGAACAAGGTCAGATTGGACCCTCCTCTGCTGCTCGTCCTGGCTTCCTCCCTGTTCCCCTGGCTTCTGTGTGTTCCTCCCCAGCCCTGTCACAGCGCAGTGGCTCACCCTTGGCAGCAGACCTCTGTCTATCCATGTCGGGCTTGTCCGGCTGGGCTGTCCTTGCTGTGTGGCCGCCTGCCCACCTGCTGTGGTTAGGCCTGGAGGGAAGCGGCAGACAGGCTGGATCTTCTTCTTTCCCCATGCCCAAGTTCCTGCTGCTCTGAACAAAGCAACCCCTTCAGGAGCTCTGGGAGCTGGGACTTTATTTTGCTTTTGTTTCTAAAGCACTTCTTGTTTCATATAGGACTGGGCTAAGCTAGTTGAATTAACAACAACAACAACAATAACAGCAACAGGGGGGAAAAAATACACCAAAAAAACCCCTGCTTTGCACAGCTGCCATTTTCCTGAATGGAATGACATGGAAGCTGCCTAGCCCAGCCTTGCCCCACATTTGGCTCAAACAGTTTCCCAGCTGCTGAGGGTCGTAGCCAAGGGGGGCTGTGTTTGGGGAGGGGACCCCACATGATCCTCACCCTGACCAGGCAAGCGCTGGCGGAGCAGAATGGAGGTTGGTGCCAAGCAGGGAACAAGTCAGATAGAAGCCATGTTGGCTGTCTGCTGGCAGGCTGGCCTCCAGATGCCTGGAGTTGGGCTCCCGGGGTTCAAATCCTAGCTCGTCCACTTACCAGCTGTGTACCCTGTGTCACGCTAAGTGACCCCACAGTCTTCATTTCCTTCTTTGTAAAATGGAAATCACAAGAGGGCCCATCTCATCGGTATCAATATTGGACAAACTCATCGGGTAACTAGCACTGAAGTGCTCAGGAAATGGGTAGCTGTCACTGTGGTGCACCTTTGTAAACCTGGTAGGAAGTCACATCTGGAATGGACCCTAGGAACCACCCTATCATATGCTAGGTGAGTGCCTGAGACAAGAGAGCTGAGGTCTTGGTCAGAACTATCAAGCAGTCACCCCAGGACCAAGGACAAGGGCCCTGCTTTCCACCTGCACGGACCAGAAGGCCTTCTCTCATGTGCTTGTCTTTCTGTGAGCCTTGTAGTGAAGTGTGCTCAGCTCTGTGCCTGTGGTGCCAAACCAATGGAGGGCAAGTTTGCATTTAGATCTGGACAAGATCAGGTGGAGGGGTGGTGCAGGCCCATGGCTTTTGGGCAGTGAGGCGCCTCCCATGTGCCTTTGAGCTGTTGCATCTGTGTTGGCTTCTGGCCTCATCTCAGGTCACTGCAGGTGTTCAGGGCCCAGTGTGATTTGTGGGCCGTAGCTGCCCTTCTGTACTTTTCCCTTCCCCTAGGCAATGGGAAGGCATATGCTCAACCTCTGCGGCTACCTACCTAGGGTGGCTGGCAGGAAGTGGAAGGGAAGCCTGGGAGAAAGCCCACGGCTTACTGCTCTGGGGCTGATAGTGCGGCCTAGCAAACCATCTGGACCAGAACTCTCTTAGTTCCACCCAGGTTCCTCATGTGCCCGAAGCTCAGGCTGGGAGGCTGGTTTTCCTCATTGTCACCCTGTGGCAGTGGTTTTACCTCTTCTTGGAACTGCGGGCCATAGGGCAGCCTAAGCCAAGAACTGAGTAGGGGCTGCAGAGAGCCACCACCTCACTAGCTCGGGCCAGGCAAAGGTGAAAAGCACTGAACTTAGAGGAGGCAGTGTGGACCCTTTGGGGGTATACAGTACCCCAACATCCTCAGGCCTAGAGACTGGTACCTCATAGGGATTCATAGGGATTCAGCACATAAATAATAGCTGAAGCTGAATAATTGAGCTTCCTGAGGGCACCTCCATGGACTGTTCCTGATCCCCAGGTCCTCACGATCAGGAGGATATAAACATCATGCCTAGCACGGGGTGACAGATAGGAATCAAAGCCCTGTGCCAGCCAGCCAATCCTGCAAGCCTGCCTCACTGGAAGACCCAGCAGGCATGACTGTGTCCTTACAAGCCTCTGTGCATGACCTTGAGGAATCCACCCGGTGCCTGGTGGTGTTTGTCCCTGTGCAGGATGGCAGAAAAATATGCTCACCCGCTACGAAGAGGCAAAGATTTGCTGCTCTTACAGCTGATATTTCTACTTCCAGATACCAAATTCACACCTTGGGGTGGGGCCGAGCATTTTCCAGTCCCACGTGCTCTTTGTTTGGAATAATGGTTTAGAGATACGGTCACACCAAGAGGAAGGGGAATGGGTGCACGTCGTGGACCTTCTGTGTGACCTTGGGCGGACTCCTCTTTCAGGCAGTAAGGACCCCTCCTCTCCCCGCAAGTCTGAGATTCAGGGCATAAAACAACCGTTTAGGCTGCTCTATTCCCAGGAGAAGCCTGAGAGAAGGGCTTTATTTTCTTCTTGAACAATTTTATGTTCTTCAACAACTTCATAGCTCCTGCTGTTTTAAAATGTTAGTGTTTTTAATTAATGCCATTTTATTGTCCCTGTTCTCTCAAGCTCTTCTCCTGAAGGGCACAGTTTTAGAAATCTAATAACTGAATAGCTAGTGTGAGGAATAATGCATTAACATTTATAGAGGTTCTTAGATGAAAGCCACTGTGCTGTACGATGCTCATTTTAGATGGAAGAAAAGAGCAATGTTACATTAAGATTCTTGCAAAAATAATCAATATTTCATTTCTTTCAAGTGGCTGGGGAAGTTTATATAACTATTATCATGCACAACTTTCCTGAGATAATATCTTTACTTAAAATTGACTGCCAAGTACTTTGTAAAAAATTACCATTTATGCCTAGACAGATCGGGAAGGCTATAACATGGATCACATGTGCAGAAATGAACTGCAGATTTACTCAACTGTGGGCAACGCAGAGACAGTAAGAACTGCTGTTGGTTGAGCTTTGTCTGACCTGTTATCAAGACACATCGATAGGAATTCTTCTCTAATAGGCTTCTGATTGACACGTCCCCATATATTCTGTAAAATAACCACTGGAGCACCTGAGTGGACCTAGCGGTGCTCATGCAGTGGCTGCACTGACTCGTGTCCTCTTGTGGCCATGCGCCTCGTCTGTCTTCAGGCTGGGTCTGTCTCACCCAAGTTACTTGCTCCTGGGGAGAGAGGCACAGGCAGAACTCAGTCTGCCAAGGGCAGGGGCGGCAGCTCTTTGCCTAGATTCTGATACTGGGCACTCTTTCTTACTCCACAAACCTTCTCTGAAGTCAGTGGAGCAGTGGAGCTAGGTGCTTGGGGGAATGGGAAGCCAGACACTTATATTCTATGCCTCCAAGACAGGCCATTCTCCAGGTGTGGTCCGCAGGCTCCTGAGATGCAGGCCCCTAAGATGTTTCAGGGTGGCCTTCCGGGCAAGCCTGTTTCCATCATAATCTGAAGATGTTACCTGCCCTTTTTGCTCATTTTCAGTTTCCAGAACCCATGTAGTTGGTGATATCACTGCAGACTGGCTGCGCAAGCAGATCTCAGGGTTCAGCTGTCTCCCTGAAGATTGTGCCAGACACCAACAAGATTTGCAAAAATGGAAGACAGTGCCACTCCTTTGACTAATTTTTGTGGTTGCAGAAAACAGGCTTGTCATAGGAATGTGTTATTTGTGTTAGTATGGAAATGGTTTATTCTTTCATAAATAACTGATACATGTTTTACCCATTTCTCAGTTTTAACTTCTACTCTAGTGAAAAAGATGTAGAACGTAGCCCACACCCAGAGGCCCTTCTGGGCTCTAAATAATTTTTAACAGTTAAAACATTCTTGAGACCAGACAGTGACTGGATAGGACATTGGGTCCAGTGAATAAGAAGCAACAGAATCCAGCTGGAGCGAGCTGGTTCCATTCTCCCATCTATAGGACAAGGGGATGATGGGGGTAGGACTAATTTGGTGGTTATAGACTTAAAGAATACAGCAGAGGGCTGGAGATTTGGCTCTGATTTTGTTGCCTGTCTCTCAAGTGCAGGGACCCGAGTTCGATCCCTGGTACCAAACAACAACAACAACAACAAAACAGCAGATCCTCCTTTCAATTGAAATCTTTCTCAGGAGCCCAGTGTGTGCAGATAAAAGCTCTGTCCCTCATAGTGAAGGGGAGGCACACTCAGTTCCCCATACCTGTCTTTCCCACTTGCCTCATCTGTTGGAGCATGGTTTGAGAACTCTTGACCCAGACAATCCATAGGGCCCACTCCCTGTACTCTTGTCCCTTCCACGTACCCAAAGGGCAGCAGCTCGAGGACACTTCTTACCTGCTTTGGTTGGGCTGGGATTCCCAGGAGGTGCCGTGCCGCTGACGTTGGACACCCAGGTGGTGGCAGGGAGCCACCCTCCTCACAAAAGGCAGGGGGTTGAGGGAACACAGAGCCATTCTCCTCTGTGAGTCGGCTCTCACCTGCGACCCTGGACTGCTGCTCCTCCAGCATGCTGCTGGGGTCCCTAGAAGGGCCCTGGGCTCTAGTGGCAGTGACGGTGGGGCCATTGGACAAGCTGTTGAGAAAGGCGATTTGGCTTCAAACAGAGACAGTGTGGCCGGGCAGAATATGGCAGACACTTTGGCTGAGCGGGGGGCTTGAGTATCTTCAGCGTCTCTTGTCTCCCTCTGCCCCTGAGATGTGGATGCTGTGGGCGAAAGGGAGGGTATAGAGGCAGGGGAGCTTGCTTCTGTGCGATGGGCAGGAGGGCTCCCTGGAGGCAGGGAAGGATACTTGAGCTGGGGTGGTGGAGGTCCCTTTGCTGGTGATGGATTTAGCACCTTGGGGCTCACTGGTGGGCTGGCAGCTCCAGGGCTGAGTGGGGGACTGGGGGAGCTGATCACAGTGGGGAGGCTTGGTGGGGCAGGTCTGTGGGAGGTAGGCGGGCTACGCTGTCTGGTGTCTGCTTGGGGCACCCAGTGTGCCTTTGTGGGGGAGCTTTTTCTGACCCCCACGGGGGGACTTCTCTCTCGGCTCAGTCTGGAGGCCTGTGTAGAATGAGCTCCTCTTCTGGGTCTGGCCAGGCTGGATTCTGAGGTCCTGCTTTGCCCCGACGGAAGGCTAGTGTGATGCCAGGCAACTGCCTCCTGGGAATGCTTGGAGGAGCTTTTGGCCTTTGCTGTTTGTACCTGACCCAGAGCCCTGCCCTCTTGCTCTGAGACTGGGCTGGCTGCTGGTGGGAGGCTGGGGTCCAAGGCAAACTTTCTGGGATTGCTGCCACTCTTGCTGCTCCCTGGCCCTGTGCCATGCAGCCTGGTGGAGCTGGCAGTGCACTTGCTGGGCAGCAAGTCGATGGGGCTCATGGAGGCTCTCAGCTTTGAGGAAGCCCATGTCCCCCTGGTGGGACCAGACACTCCCAGCCCAGGTGCTGGGGACCCTTCAGGGGAGCTCCCTGCTGGATTGCTGCTTTCTGGGGGCTCCAGAGAGGTGAACGATTGGTCCATCAGGATTTCCAGAGGCGGCGGAGGGAGATACTCTGAGTTCCCCTCTGTTTCACAGTGTGTGTCCTCACTCTCCAATGCTCCTGCTGCAGGCAAAGGAAGAAAGACAGGTACCAAGGTCCTGCAGCCCAGGTCAGCACTGAGATAGTTGCTGCCCGCTGCTGGAGAAATTTGGGGCTTGGGATACAAGGGAGCAAGCCCCCCATAAATGGGAAATCTTGGAGGCGTGGTGGGGACTCCCCACTGGCTGAGGCAGGGACTTGAGCCCTCCGCTGTCCTCACACTCTCAGCAGGACTGAAAGTTTCAATAAGTTTTTTGACTGATGTCCTGGTGCGACGGCCCCTGACAATCCAGTCCTCGGCCCTGGACGCCTCGCTGTCCTCCCCCGATGGGATGGTGCTTGGCAGCTTCTCAGAGTTCCCCTGCCTGGGCCGTTCACCTTCAGGTTGGGGATGACATCGGTGCCAAGTGTTCTTGTCCTGACTTGGCAAGATGCTAAAGTCCTTGGTGAGGGACGCCTTGAGCTTGCTGACGGTGCTGCTGGGGTTCACCCTGCAGTTTCTGGGAGGCCACAGGGCTACCGCTCTGGGCTGCAGAATCTGCTCCTTGTTCTGCCCCTGCCATTTGGCACCCAAGGCGTAAAACGCCTCCAGCCTCTGACTGAGATCTCTCTGGACCCTGCACAGCTCCTGGAGGGTAGGGTCCTCCCCGAGGCTCTTGATACTCCCCTCTGACTGCGACCTCCTCTTTCTCTCGGGGGCCCTCCTGCTGCCGCTGACCGTGTGAGGCCTTGGTGGCACCATTGTCCCTCCCTCCTCTTCCTCAGCCCAGTCTTGATGTCCACAGGGGACAGGGACAAACTTGATCCTTTCACTGATGGCTTCCTTCATCTTCAGAGCCATCTCCTGGGTCTGGGGGCTCCTAAGCTTCCTGGAGCATGGCTGAAAGGGTCTTTCCCCGTCAGCAGGTGGAGACTGTGGCTTTGGATGTGGAGCTCTTTCCTGCCCTGAGCTAACATTGCTGTCCTCACAGTCACTGAGGGATGGAGTAGCCACCTGCTGGGAGCTTTTAGGAAGATGGGCTTTTGTGGATTCCACAGCTCCCAGGGAGTCATGGGGCATGCTCCTGCCTACCACCAAAGGCCTGGAGGTAATTGTTTCTGGGCCTGTGCCGGCGGGGTTTGGCCTCCTTGCCTCGCCCTGTGTTGCTGGCTGGACCTTGGTCCTGAGAGGCCTTGACAGTGAGCAGTCCTGTTCTCTGTCCTGACCCATCCAGAATGGACTTTGCTGCCAGGCCTGTCTGGACAGACTGGCCTCCGTCTGGGGTGACGTCTCCAGATTCCATTCTTCGGGCTCTGGGGTGAACTCCCAGCTGGTTTGCTTCCCCAGCTTGTCCATGGACTGCACAGACTCATTGTCAGCACCGATGCCGCTGTCCTCAGAGCACAAGGGTAGACCTTGCAGCCCAGGGTCACCATGGCCACTAGCGAGGCTCTCTAGCTGCACCAGTGCCCTTAGGAGGCGTTTCTCCACAGCCCTCTTTGTGCTCAGCTTATTTTCCAAGTGGCTTGCGGTGGAGTAGAAGTAGCTGCTGGAGCCCTCCAGGAAGTGGCCGGTGAGGGAGGCTGCCGTGGCACGGAGCACCTGCAGCTTACTGACTGTGTACTGCAGCAGCTGTTGCAAGAGGTCAGGCTTCTCCTGGGGCTCCCCTTCCCATGCTGGCCAAGCGAAATCGTCCCTAAGCTCCCGGAGGAGCACTTCTCCGTCCCCCGAGATCTCCCCCAAGAGCTGGGTGACCTCCTCGAAGCACAGCAGCAGGAAGCAGAGCATTGGCTGCAGCAGCTCCCGGGTCTGGGCGGCCTGGTGGGTGAGGCACAGGATTGCTTCGTACTTGGAGAGGCTGGAGTGCAGGTAGGTGTAAGCGTGCTGGTGAGCCGTTACCAGGTGCTTGGGGAAGTTCACTTTGCCTGCTGACCCAGGAACAGGGGGGATGGTTTGGCAGCAGTGGCCTGGTTTGGGGGTCTCTTGGGTAGTCGTGTGTGCACCTTCTTCCCTGCGAAAGGCTGCCCCTCTTGTGCCATGGGAGCCCGGGGAGTTGGATGGAATGTCCTCAGCCACATGGGAGGTTTGGGTCCCTGACATCAGTCCTTCCATGTCTCCCACGAGCTGACAAAGTCCTTCAGCGGTGGTTTGAGTCCTCCTGGAGCCCAGCAGCTCCTCCACCAGCCTCTGTCCCTGGGGCAGACTCCCCACAGCATCACAGCAGGTAGGACCTTTAACCAGCAGTGGGACGGAAACCTTTTTACTGCTCCCCTGACTCCCTGGCAGAATTGCTTTGGGCTTTCTCAAAAACCGAATGCCGCCCTTTGCCACACTGTTTACAACGTCGCTGTGTGACGGTGTACAGCCCATGATTTCAATCTGTAGTTGTCTTCCACTTGCAACCTTCACAGTTGTCTGAGAATCATCTTGGAAGCAGGTGCAAAAGGCAGTCTTACCGGTCTGTCCAGGCAATTCCAGGCCAGAGTCCTTTGAAGTCCATGGTGCAAGGTCCTAGATGTGGAAGCAGCTTTCTTCCCCTCCTTGGACCCAGTGTGAAGAGGGAGAGCCTGCCATCCTGTGTCCTTCTAAGTTTTGAAGCTTCCGCTGTTAGTGAGGAGCACCACAGTTCCAAAGCACCTAGTCCACAGATTACAGGCCCATGTTTTGCTCATGTCCCGACAGATGTGGGTGGCAAGTGGAGCTTTAAGCCTATTAGGTTAATCATGCCCCAGCCAGTCAGCACTCACAGTGTGTTCTAATACAGGACTTCTCAGCATTTACTATCTTGGGAAGCGGATTATTTTTGCACATGCTTATGCTTTTGACTCTGTTCAGACGCCTGCCATATGAGACCTAGAGAAATTAGCTGTTATTGTGAAAGCTTCTGGAAGAGATGCATTCGTGGAAACAGAGAGGGCTTGACCATTATAGACCCCAGAAGAAAAGTGACCTTCACAGTTTAGTAAGGGCAAACCGGTGGGGTGTGCTCCAATCTGCTGCTATCAAGAAGACCCCCAGACACACAACGGATGATGATTAAGCAGTGTATTGTCTGTGGGGCTTGTAAAACCCTGCAGTCATAGTGATGGACAGCGTCTTTAAATAGTAAGGCGGTGAATGAAGGAGACAGGTTTGCTTTCCTCTGTATTAGCACATTGGGTTAGCTAGCAGGAAGGCCATCCTTCCTGGTTTGGAGGTCAGACAGGAAAACTTACTGCCATGTAAAGTTTAAAGTCAGTCACTGTGGACCACAGTGACTCAGGGGCCAGTGTTCTCCTGGGAAGAGGCTTTTTAATTGACCGTTTCTCCTGGGAAAACAAGCTACACCTAGGCAGTGGAGAGTTATTCAGTCATTAGGAGTAGAACTCAAGGGGGAAAGTACGTTTTTCTTTTCAAGTACATCTTTCTACTCAAGCTGAGCACAAGTGCACTTGCCCTTGGCCAAGGGCACCAGCTGCCTGCTTAAATTCCTTTTATGAAACTTACTTGCTGCCCGTAAAGTCTAGAGCAAGAATTTAGAGTAGGGAGGCACGGTTTAGATCTCGACTCCTTATCATTTGAATTGGGGGAGCTTCTGAAAGCTGTTGAACTTTGCTGAGGCAGAGATCATCTTTAAAATGGGGCAGTGTGTCCATGTTACTGGGCTCTTGTGGGGATGAAGTCAATCAATGTCTGGTAAGTGCTTTACCTGGTACATGAACAGGATAGGCATTAAACATTTTTTTCTTACTCCCCGCCACCACTGAAGCTAAAACAAACCCTAGTCCTTCCCTGAATTGTCTGCAAATAATTTCCAACTACTGATCTTGGAGTTCTCTAGATTTGGCTTGCTTGTTCCTTTGCCATCCATGTCTGGGCAGAATGGCCCAGTGTTTGGTGCATAGCTGCCTCTGTTTTCTGAAGTCTTCAATGTGTGAGTTCTCTGCTCGTAAGCACAGTGATTCCCCAAGCCTGAAAAACGCTTTTGTTTAACCATTTCCAACTTTTGGGCATCTGGGTAGTTGCCAGTGCTGAACATTCCTAATAGAAACAAAACCAAGCAAAACAACAACAACAAAAACACTGCCTTGAGCATCTCAGAGATCTCCTGAAGGTGTTAAGATCGGAGTTAATATTCTGACTTTATGTTCTTCATTTTCCCTCTGGAGTTCTGTATGGCAGTAATCATAGCACTGTGGGTGTCAGGATGTCTCAGAGACGGAGAGGCCTTAGGGCCATCTCCTGTGCTGTGAGCGAGCTGGAGTCTACCAGGGCTGTGTGCGGAGCCTGATGCTGGTCACAGCCTGATGCCACTGAGTGCATCATTAATAAAGTTCCCCGATCTGTTTATTTGAAGCAGAACTCAGGGGAAACCCAAGCTGAATCAGTGCCTGCGGGGGAACAGTGTTAAGCATCAAGCTGTTGTTTCATTTGTCACCATGCCGGGCTGGCTGGTAGACAGGGACACTGTGTGTGGAGTCTTTTGTTTCCCCTCTGGGTCTTGCATGGAACGGAATGAAAGCTCATCTGAAGGATGCCTTATGTAAAATCTTCTGCTCTTGGGATTTGGGCCTCTGCTTGGATTATCCTTGTAAAAACCTTTGATCTAAGTGCTAAAATTATTTCTAAGCCAGTGATCAAAATCAAAGTATTTGCCTAGAGGATCAGCTGTCAGATAGCTCTGTACCCATCAGACTGGTTTCAGGACTACTACAAATAACTCAAAATAAGTTCTTTATATACTGCCACTCATGGTTTCACTGAGACCAACTCTTTTTTTTTTCTTTTAAAACTGGGCTTGTTACAAATGGAAAAAGACCTTGTTGGGTGGCAATGTAAAGTGGAAAACTGACATCCATACATACACCTTAGGGCCCATCAATTCTACTCCCAAGAGTAAAGCATAGGCCTCAAAGAGACTGGGACAAGAATATTCATGGTAACTCTATTTGTAATATTCTCAATTTAGAAATAATCTAAATGTCTATCAATAAGGAAATAAACTTGACATAATTACACAACAGAATACTACCCCAAAATAAAAAGAACAAACTACTGAAACATAACCACTTGGAGAAATTTAGAAATAATTATGATAAATGAAAGGAGCCAGACACAAAAGAGTACACACAGAAAGAGCCTACTTATATGGAGTTGAAGCCCAGGTAAAACTAGTCTAGGGGGTCATAGAACTCAAACGAGTGGTTATCTCTACAAGCATCTATCGATCGATTATGGAGATGAAGGACTTTCTTAGGGTGATGGAAATGGTTTATATGTTGATCTGGCTGGTGGTTATAATGAGATGTAAACTGGTTTGAGTTGGACAATTAAGTTGTATACTTTATGGCTGTTGCACACACACCCCTGATTAAAGTGCTGTGTTGAATACTTTGTTTTATGCCCAGGGCGATTCTAGCTATGATGCTACTGGGCTTAGATTAGGCTCCCTGTATTAGTTTTCTGTTGTTGCATAATGAATCGCCCCCAGATTTAGCAGATGTTAGCTCATAGTTTCTGTAGATTTGGAAGCACCTCAACTCAGCTGGGTGGTTCTGGCTGTGGATCTCTTGTGAGGTTACAGTCAGATGCCAGCCAGGGATGCAGGGGCTCTATGAGAGAGCCCTTAAACATGGCAGCTGGTTTCCCCTGGAGCAAGTGGCCCAGGAGACAGGAGGAGGAGGCTGCTATGTCCTGATCTCAGAAGTCATCTTTGCTTTCTCCACATTTTATTTTAAGCCAGTATTATGGTTGATATCCAAAAGTTCTCCCCAAGACTCATGTGTCAGGAAGGCAGTTGGTTCCTGGGGTGCTATATTCATCAGTGAATCCATCTCTGGATGAGCTCAGGAGCTGTATGTGCCCTTAGGAGCTGAGGCCTGGTGAATGGGTCACTGTGGGAGGGGGCAGGAAGTGTTTCTCTCCCCCGCTCCTCCCTTGGTCACTCTTTGCTTCCTGCTGCCGTGCCATGAGCTGTTTCTCCTCTGCCGTGCTGCTCTGCCTTGGACCAGTGGACTACATATGGACTGAAACCTCTACAAACTACGAGCCAGCATAAACCTTTCTTCCTCTAAGTTGTGGGTGTTGGGTATTGTGTCAGCAATGACAAAGTAACTTAAAACAATTATACTCCAGAAAAGAAAATTAGATTCCACTTTCAAAAATCACTTACAGACCTGGCCGTATCACAGGTCAGTCTGTCACATCCTATATGATTGTGTATAGTAAATATTAGTTTATTAAGGTGCAACTCCTTGCTGTTCAGCATGTTAAAAAAAACTCTACTCCATTTGGCTCACGTGGTCCTGAACTAAATGTGTCAGTAAGAGATGGTCCCATCTTCACCATTTTTGAGGCACCAATTTTGAGCCAAGACTATTATTTCAACATTATCTGGATTTTTATATAGATGAGGTCATACAACCTTTAATGTTTTGGTTAACTTTTCCCCTCAATATAGTTAATATTGAGAGTCTGTTATGTCATGGTGTATGTATCAATAATTCATACTTGTTTATTGCTGAGTGGTATGATTGGCTCTTTTTTTTAATGTTTTTAGCAGTACTATCTAAAATAAAGATGCATACCTCGGCGTGGTGGTGCACGCCTGTAATCCCAGCACTTGGGAGGCAGAGGCAGGAGGATCACTGTGAGTTCGAGACCAGCCTGGGCTACATAGTGAGTTCCAGGTCAGTTTCAACTACACAGTGAGACCCTGTCTAA